GGATGAGTTCACTTAATCGATTTTTTTCGAGATCCGCAACTGCCGACACTGCGTCACCCAAGGTTTCCAAATGATCTGAAAAGGAAATGATCGAAATGAAATATGATCTCGGTTCCGAATCAAAATATAAACAGTCACGACTTACGGAATAAGTAGCCAAAATAAATTCACACAAGAGCTTGAAAACATGGCAGTGGAAGAAGTAGTAGCAACGAACTCCACAGCTTGCGACTGAGTCCCAAGCCCTTCAATCGAGGGCAACAATGAGATGTACAGATTTTTGTGGAAGAAATTTCCGAGAAACTTTATCCCGGTGCGGCCCAATACTGAAAGTACCGAGAACATAGTGAAAGTAGGACCAAAACACTCACTACGTCAATGTTAGAGACTCGCATACCACACTGAATCGAAATCCCCACGCCCACTTTGGTTTAACCTATAAAGACCCGATGTAAAGCTTTCACTTTCTTGGAGTGATTGGGCTTCGGTGCGGCAGTAATCCTGTGGACTACACTGGCTGGAACTGTTTCTAAGGGTCCAACCATACCAGGAAGGCCGCAAAGGTAATAGCCCGACGAAGAACTGCGAGGCGGACTGGAGGTAAATTGATACTGACCTCTACGAAGCACTTTCTTGGAGTGATTGGGCTTCGGTGCGGCAGTAATCCTGTGGACTACACTGGCTGGAACTGTTTCTAAGGGTCCAACCATACCAGGAAGGCCGCAAAGGTAATAGCCCGACGAAGAACTGCGAGGCGGACTGGAGGTAAATTCTGACCGACCTCTACGAAGGGAGTGTGAAGGTAGTAAGGCGTTTCCCCCAGGTGTCCATGTTCATGGAAGCAGCGATTCTGCTTCCTCAGAGCAAGAACAGGTTATAAAAGGTCGGCCCTAAAACTCGCACACTCCGATCACCCTAGGGTTGACAGTGACCGAAAGCGTACTGCCCAGTACGGTTGAGACATTTTTGAAAACAAAGAGTCCGGTGATGCTTAGAGGACACTTCCTGTAAGTAGATACAATAGATGTCAGACATTTCTAACTTACTCCCTGCATTCTCGAACCAGGTCGACTCCCTGCAGTCATGGGTTAGTAGTTCCGGGAAGTCCCCCAAGAAGCCCTAACAATCGCTGCCTCACGGTTCAGGCTTCTTCGACCCGGACAATGGGTGTGCTTANAAAGAGTGTGCTTTACTGGATTGGATTTCAGTAAACAGTCGTCTTTACGTTGAATCAAGGTCAATCCATCGCGAACATCTTTGTTGTATCAGCACATACTCCGACGGATGGCAGCTCTCAGGCTTAGATGCCTTCTATCGAGATTTGTTGCCGATGCTTCAGTCAGCGGGAAGTATGGATTTCCCGATTCTGGCAAGTGATATGAATAAAATAATATGAATACAATCGTTCAGCTGTAACACCCTTTCGGTGCTTAGCTACCATCCCACGCGGAGGCACGAGAGCGGGGATAGTGCAAGGTTGCCCAAGCCTAGACAGGGGCAGAGGTCGGGTTCGAACCACGGACCTTCCGCTCTAACGACTGTTATGAATACTCAGGTTGGCCGACTTAGTCGTGAGAAAGCCCATTTTGGCGCTTGAATTAGGGTTGGCTCACCACACGGACGAATAAAAGCGACTTTCTCAATTATCCGCCGAATATCATCTGGCCAGCACAAGCGTTTGCACCGGGTGACTTACAGGCCACCAACTACAAACCAGATGGATTCATCGACCATTCGACACAAGACTGTCGTTCATTTGGGAATACATCAACGGACTCCGATCACGGTATTGGGTGAACACGTGTGTATCTAGTTGCTGGCTGATACATAGCCACCCAATTCATCACCTGCAAAGCGTTTATGTAAAAAATGGTTCAATGGTAGCACGCTATCGGTGCCTAACTGCCATACCACCCGAAGGAAGCATGAGGGATGGCATACTACCAGGTTGAGAGGCAGAGGTCGGGTTCGAACCACGGACCTTCCGGCCAGTAAATTCGCGCTCTAACCATTTGAGCCATCTTGCGTCTCTTTAGTTCAACAATAACGGGTCAAGTTGGCTGAGGAATTTCCAGAACTCAACGGACACAGCGGTAGTAGTGGTAATTCGATGACGATTGGAACAAGGTCAAAGAAGCCATTCTCACAGCCCTTGAAACCGTCTGCAAGAGGTCGCACTCACACTCCAGTGAAAATTGGACCTTGTCAAGATCAGCAATTCCGAGTGAAACCAGACAAACTATACCATCCACAAGCGATTGAGGTAGAAATCCTTCAAACACCAAGTAATGGAGGACCTACAATTTAATAGAGAGCGCTGGCGAGTCGCAAAAGCCCGAGAAACGGAGAACACTTTTGTAGCGGGGAACAATCACTCTATGTTCCAGATAATCTGATCAACTGGTCCGAGTGAAAAGATCTCCGGAAGAGATGAGACCTCGATTAGTTCACAGATGGTTCGCATCCTGTGCTCTCCTAAAATGGCTAGTCTGTCGTGGTTAACATGACGACTTCACTTCAAACTATCCGGAATAAGGAAAGAAAACCAACAGAATGGAGCACCTCGATGGTAATTTCTACATGTGAAAAAGGCGACACAACATCGCACGAAAAAATTGGAGAGTCTGTCTAGTGACCATAGCTCGCAAGGTGTTTTCTGGTACTATCCTACACAGACTAATATATCCCCGGGAGTCAGAACTTAAAGAATCAAGCGGTGTTCCGCTTCACTATACGACCAGTGTTGAGACTCCGGCACTTCTGATCACCAACGATGACAGTTTTCCTCCATGTTACACCTACTTTTGAATCAGTTGATTGTCGGAAACTGTTGGCGATGAAGTGTACCTTATAAACGGACAAAAGTATCTTCTGTCGACATTTCTCTTCAACTTTGTTATCGATGCGCTTATTTCGTTTTGTTTACCTGTCTCCAACACTCTAAAAATGCCATTTTTCTAACTAGAATAGTCCTGCTGGACAGTTCGGTATGAGCTCCGAACCCGTAACTCGTGAAGTGCCGCTGCAAGAAAGTGAGATCCAACCCAAACCTCATGCTCGCAGTAGGGCTGATCGATGTGGTTGATGAATACTTCTATTTGGGCAGCTGTATAAGTCCGGCAAACTGGTGACGATTAGAAAAGCGAGGACAATCTTCCACATTTGTGAAAACGAAATCAGCGGCCATTGTATGTTGCGAGCCTGAGATCTGCTGACGAAGGGTAAGTTCAGGGTTCCAGCAAAGCAGACTAAGTGGACCAGTAGGAAGGAGGGAAACACCTAGTTGTCAACAACCTTGATGGTTTTGCGCATATATCTGATAGAATTGAATTGCTTGTGAATAGTGCATGGACGAGGTTAGCATAGATGGTCCCGGTAAACAACTACAATATCATGTTAAGGGTTAAACAGCTATATTGGAAAATACCTGGGCATAAAGAGTGACGCAGCGTCATTCGTCGTATACTGAAGGACCTCCTAGAGGAAACTGTAAAGAAGTGTCTACTATCCATTATTTCGCTGTCATCTGCATTACTAGGATGGTAAAGTCTGATCTACCTGAAATTCCAGAAGTTCTTTTGGTTCCGGAAAAAGCTTGTTCCATTCCTATACGAAGTTTCTGTGAAAATATTGGTTATGATGCTCTTTTAGACAGAGGTTATGCACAGATGGTGGAAGCTCAAACTATCGTCCGGAAAGGTGTCACTGCGTAACGTAGAGTTCATCACTTCAAGACTTGAGATACCCGTTTGTCTTCAAGCAGCGGAAAAAATACGCTAAGTGCACGCCACCATTAAATGGTGGTGGTGGAAGTTTAATCTGTGAGCTGGTGAAACTGTAAGGGGAGGACCAAGCAGGGGCAAAGATGGACAGAACTTGGGACTGGTGGACGAAATTGGACGCGATTAACGATGATCAAGTCAGATACAGCAATTCCATTGCTTACGACAAAGCCGCCAGAAGAAGAACTTACTCTGCACTATCTGTAAGATTGCTCGTGGTGACACGGCACGCATTTTGAGTAGCTGAAGGACACGATCCATAATCTGAAGCACAAAATGCATAAAAGGCAAACTTATCCATAGTGGAAGTGATGTGTTTTTCAGGTTCAGCAGGTTAGGACCTACTGGAATGCTTAGAACTTTTCCAGCTTCAGGTTACCTACGCTTCCTACACAACACAGGTCAGGGTTTTTGTGTGCTCGAAGAAAAATGGGATGTGGCCGGGGATGTGAGGCATCGATTTTAAGGTGCACAGTACGCAATCATTAAATAGTGAATGCTTAGTCCTTTAGAAGTCTTGATCCGATTGAGCAGGCAACAGGAATGTTCAAACTATGGGTGGGCGATAGACATCGACTCGCAAATCAATCAAACACAACGGATTGCAATCTGTCCACGATTAGGATCATACGAAGCGGTATTGTCCCAAAAAAGGGATGGAGTCATCCGGAAAGTGCCCCGTGCACTAGGATATCAAACTTTCGACGAAGGGGGCAATAGTGCATGACCACACGCGCCTTCAACTACTGGCCTCGGTCTGCGACCAAATAAGTCCTTTTTAGTTACCAGGTAGAACTAAGTCGACTAAAATGGACGTTGCCGAAAGGCGTAAATTACGAGATGAGGGTGTAAAATGACAGGCAAAGCATTGAAAATAACGTAACGCAGGTTCTGACAGTAACAGACAACTAAACAAACCAATTCAGATGAGATGAAGATCAATGGATCCGTCTCAGAGACTGAGCGTGTTATTATGTATCTGTATTTATGATTAAACCCAAAACCGTAGGAACATCTGTCCAATATTTTATTCAGTAATCACCCCTCAGAGTTTAGGGTTGACAGTGAAGTTGTGCAGGCCGATAGAAAAAAAAACAGAATTAATATTGTGACCAAATATAATTGGGTGATAATGACCTGCGAAACCGGTTGTGTTTTTATCGAGATTTCAATCAGTCGTCCCACACCAGTTCCACGCCAAACTACCTATTAACTTACTGTAGGTGCTCCGTTCACACAGACTTCAAGGATGATTATATCCAAAATTTGCAAAGGAAGCAGACCACCACCGAGTCGCTCTAACATCAATTCATCTTCGATTTCTTCGGGAGTGTATCCGACCCAACGTGGCTGATCCTGTAAAAAACGGATACAGCAGAATCCCATATGAGAGAAGAACTCAACGTCGGTTACATAGAAAACTGGCGAAATGCACACAAGTTCATTGGACCACCGAGTTAAATTCATCGGGCCACAGACTAGATGGTTGGCCCTATACTAGAGAAGGTTCGAAAGACAGAATTCTAACCAACCAGCAATCCAATGAAGTTCACCAAACGCAACAGCTTTCACTGATGGTTGGTTTAAGGCAGATGAGCATGGAATACTGAATACTCTGGCGTCCAAGTGTCACCACATAACATCGCCAGCTCATAGGGAATCAGGCGATGATTCCAAGAAATCTCATGTAAACCAAGCAAGCATAACTAACACAAGTGAAAATATCTCACGCATACATCGTATTATTGTGCTTATTTGAATGAACCATAGACACTCAACCAAATGGCTTGGAGTGGTGAAACACGTAAAGCTTCTATGGGAGTAAACATGGTGACAGCCGGAAGGTTCGGACGCCTCCGGGTTCTGTCATGTTAATAAATAATAGTTATTAATAATAGTAACAAATAAGTTAGTAAATAGTATTTAACACGTTCGCATCTGAGAATACGAGTATCGGAATAGCTATCACCATTCTTACTTCTTTCATTGCCCTTATGCGACTGTCAGTTGCCTTCACACGATCGAAGTACTGGAGATGAAGTTCAATCAGCCGATCGACTTTCTCGTGATCGCTCTCGACAAACTTAGCCAGTACGCGGTTTTTTTGAACCGACGGACAGTGTCGAAGCAGAGCACCGATGATACTGCAAAGCATGGATTAAAGATATGTGTGACGCAAAGCATGGATTAAAGATTATGTGACTCACATGTATCTCAGAAATGAGAAAAGAAAACATTGGGTAAACTAAGGAACAATTTCCCACGTATACAGGTCATGTACGTATCGCACGCAGAGGTCTGATAGCATAAACCTTTAAGCCATGTGGAACGTTATGGCCTTTCTAATATCACAAGTGGTCGGTCTGAATATTGTGACTGACGTTATTCTGTGCAGCTTGACAGTGATTGGGCAAGGAAATACCCGATGGAAATCCTATGCAAGAAGTCCCGCCACTGTTTAAGGATTCGAAAATGCAGAAATCAGTCCTCTGAACTTACTTAATCACATGCTCTTCCATCTCAGCTGCTGTCGGACCACCAAGAGACTTCGGCTTTTCCCGCACCTTCGTGGGTACCTTTGACTTGGCAACGCGTTCGCGGGGACTATGCATGAAGAGAGGGAAAATGGTTCGCAGACCGAGGACATCAACGAATTTAGAACAGTTGGCTATCACAACTGCTAGTGGGTCTGAACTTGTTGAGCCAGGTTTCTGTGGTCCCTCTGGGTCTTGTGTATCGGGTTGCGGCTGAGGAGCTGCATTGGCTGAGTTCACAACACACAAAGCATAGTCCAAAACACGCAGGGCACTGTCTCTTGACATATGCTTTTCACTGGATGGAGTGGTTCAATACAAAAGGGAAACTTTGAATGATAACGGTTCAAGGATACAGAGAAGCAGAAAAGAGACTATGAACTCAACAACTGCAATTTTCCCTGAAAAACACACACAGGACCTGGGATTTTCTCCTGACAACATTTACTAGAAAGCACAAACAGGCCGTAGCAGCACTGTTCGAATAGAGACGAGGTTGTTCGTTAAACGCTAGGGGGACGATGAGAGAAACGAAACGATGAACGTTGAGCTTGGAAATTTGGTTGTGAAAGCTTTATAGTGTATTTCCAGGCACACTGGTTATGTCAAGTTGAGGGATAATGAAACGTCTGCCAGAATAGTGCCAAGCTCGGCGAAAAATTCAGTCAGGAACAATACAATATATATTCCATTCTGTGCGACAAAATTTGATTATTATTCACGTAGAGCTAACTTTCAGGTAAGATGGCCAGCAGTTGAAAAAAGGTGAGATGAGGGACTTATTCAAATACCAAACGACACTACACGTTCAAAGGAACGGTAAAAACTAGCGTAAATAAGCCAAACACTAGACATCCGACACATTCATCTTAATTCGTCGGTCTACTACAGCCAGAGTTTTGCCTGAACTCCACATAGAAAGCTGCCAGTACTGATGGGATCGAGATTTATTATCCACAGTTATCAGTAATAAGAATAATAAAGCAAAATGATGTGATGACAAATGAACAAATTGAACAACAACGTCAAAGTCGGATTACTGTATACGCAACGATGGAGCAAACGGTATTTGCAGTGCACACCGATGCGGATATTTAAGTTTGATAGGATACAAAATTGATACTTAAAGTGTTACACCATTGCTTGCAGATGGTATTGTGGGGTACAGTGACTCGCAAATGATATCATAACTTATCCATTCAAAAGCAGAGCGGGAAAGGTAAACCAAACAGTTATCCCTGTGATTAAATGATGAATCGCAGAGTTACTTCACGACAAACGGGTTATGCAATAAACTGATCGATCAGTACCCAAGAGCTTCTGGGTTGTGGTGAACATCAAGTCTTGTGGTAGTTTTTGGTTTAGAAATATGGGGCGTTTCATCAGGACGTGCCGATTTGCATGGCAATACAACAGAAGGCAAACTGGAAAGCCACTAAGATAAGATTTTCACATCACTCGGGAAGTCATAAAGATCTTTTAATATAAAACGTAGAGAGAACGATGGTTATTCTGAAGGAAATTTTCAATGCGTACAGAGGTGAGTTACTAGGTAACGCGATGCCCACTGTTTCCAGTACAAGGTGTGTGTGAGGGATAACAGGAGAAAATATCACCTGGCTCTATAATGTCAGGTACCCCTGAAAGTAAAGGCGGCTGACAAGCAAAGTGTATTCAGGAAAAGTTCAAGAAGGCTGATACGGATGGTGTTAGCCGTAATAAATCATTCGTTCAACAATGAATCCTCAGCTTTGTAAGTCGAGTTGACACAGCAGATGACGCGCTCGTCTGTCACCTGCGGGGTCCGAGTTTAAACCCCGGGGGACCTGCTTTACGCTCGAGATGGCTCAGTGGCCAAGGGAAAATTTACTAACGGGAAATTTTCGTCTGCTCCTGTCTAGGCAGTATCTCAACTCTTATGCTTCCTTCAGGGAGCACGGCAGCTAGGCGCCGGGTGTACCGGTTGAACGACCTTTTTATTTGCATAACCTCGTATGGCTCGAAATGCAGCAAGAAACTACGATTGTCATCTGTCACTTAGCTAGTGTGTTATTAATGGTCTGTAAACCGTTATCGTAGCATATTGACGTCGAATATTACCTTCCAATCCAGAACTATCTTCGCATGGTTTATTTCATTCACGTACTTGGTTCTGCTTTCGCCAGACGTAATCGGGAAATCACAAGGAGTTGAAGTAGACCATTACGACAAGGCGAGGAAAGACGAAGTACAGGAGTAATCTGAATGAGCAGTTGAAGACGCATAAGAACCGAAGAAGAATGTCCATCTTGAAACAGAGGCGTAAGCACATAGAGCATATACCAAGAAAACATGATTAACGTGCATTGCCACCCATGTTGTGTACTTGGACTTCTCAAAGTTTGCTTTATTGCGAAAGTCACAAACAGCGCCAATGTATGTTGGCTGTTAACCATCAGGCAGAGGTGCGGTGAATCATTGTGATGTTCAGGTTCGTAATTGTGATAGAGAGCAATCGTATTTTTGCCCATACAGTAAGCAGGAAGAAGTTTGGTGGTTGCCACCTCGCCCTGAGCATGCGTTTCGCTCACGTCCTCTCAATACAAGGAAATGTGACTATTCAGATAACAACTAGAAAGGGAATCGGAGTCTTAAAACGGAGAATTACATACGTTTCACACGACACTACCTCCCCGAACGTGAGCTGATTGATCCAGTTTAGACCATTTGTTGGTGTGATTTACTGAAGAATGGCGGTCTATTCAAACTGAACGACAATTAAGGGTTGTGAGGGGAATCAGTCTAATTGAAATAAGAACTAACATTGCAAGACAGCTGTATGGAACTGGGGTCACGGTGGAACAACCTGGGAACTCGACCAAAACAGAAAACAACGGGACCAAATCATACCCACCGTAACATGAGATTCATCAACTGTATTCCTTCGCCTTTGAGAAAGCGATCCTTATTCTCAGGTAGCATCAGAGCACTGCACAAACAGTCGAACATATTGTGCATTAGCTCGATTTCTTCTGGGCTGGAGGGATCGTGACGTTTGTACTGGGCAAGCTGTTGCAAAAGAATGTCAATTCCATCCACTTCACCCAAATGACGCCGGTTGGCCTCGTCCAGCTGCAGTAGTATAGAGAGTAGTTCGCTGACATAAAGTTTGTTGCGATCAAACACGGGACGTCGCTGAAGCCGGCGAAGAAGCCAAGAGAATAGCCCTTGGTTAGACATGGTGACATTCATTTCAGGTCGCACATCCAGTAAATTTTCCACGATTCCTGCGAAGAAATTGGACGAAAATACGAGACTAAAATAGTCATCATGATTAAAAAAACGGCACTCCTATTCCAAGCAACGCGGTGGAATAAAGCTGGATGAAAAAATCCGGTGTGAAGACCCGTAACAGCTAAGCGACGCAAAATGACATTAAAAATGGTGCCCCCATGGTAGTCCATTCTGGATAACCCGTCAAATTTAAGAATCAGTCTATAATTGATAAAATACCAAATTTATTGTTCGGAAAATTTTGTGGTGTGAACCCGACAATTAGAGAACCGTATATAGAGTGCCAAAAGAGTAGAACAAGGCATAAGAACCAACGCAGAGACAGGATTTGGAAAGTTCCAGATATTGATTTTGCAGCGCGGAAACAATGCTTTACAAGGGTAGAAATCATCAGCAGTATGGAATGACAGTGCGGTAAACGGAGGACAAAATTCTAAATAAACCTCAATTGTGATACGCTCACGCCAAAAGGGCTTGAGTAAAACTGTCTAACGCGGTCTAGTCCAGCACATGTACATACCCAATGTTTTGTGAACGCCATCAGCCTCATCCTTGTTGGACTCATCTAACCGGGCTACGTTCTGCATGAGTAGCTGTATTAGTTGTCCGTTGAATAGCAGGTCCAATAATGGGTTGACTCGACTTGGGCCAGCCTCCATAAGGCCATTTGACTCCAAAAGTTCATGCAGTAAATCGATCACAGCCAAACTGATATCCGTGTTCTCATGCGATAAAAGCCCGAGGAGCAGGGACACAGAGCGTGTGTGGTCGGCAAGGATGGGATATAAGTTTGGGTTGGCTGCAATAACCTGGTATGAAAGAGGAAATGTCAGCAATGAAAAGCGGTGCTACTAACAACCATGAGAATCAAACTTTACTGGGAGAGACGCATCTCTCGACAAAAGCCTAGTGAAATAAGTCCTGTGAAAGTAAAACCACTGGAACTGCCGACGGCCAACCTCAAATACATTATGACGACAACGAATTTGACAATCATTTAGAGTGCTAATATAAAGCGCACTTAGATTAAACTGATAAACTTTGCAAGCGAGTAACAGAAAGTCGAAAACCGGTAGATCTTTGATTAGAAAACTAACAGACGTACCGGAAATGTGTGCAATAAACATTACCCTTCCTCGGTGGGAGTGCAGTGAGTAAACTCACAATGAAATTCGGTGTCACGGATTCCAACTATGAATAACGCAGCTATCATCTCTATAGCACTTTAGTGTTGGACTAGCACATAGTACAGATGGGCCACTGTCGTGTTTTTGGTCAGCCCACCGAGCTGAAGTTTTCTAATTGTTTGTGCACTAGACACTGTACAGGGCAAGAGTCGATAGCATACTGGGTCAGTGAAAGTCACAAGGGAATGGCTGATTGAAGCCGTCTCATTCTGATTGGCGGTGTACATCACCAGGCGTCTTAATACTTGTGATGTTTAATCGAATCACAAGTCATCAAATTTATACATGTTTTCGTTTTCCGCTTGTTCGAGGACAACTAACCACAGGCAAATTATTTATTGCACTAGACCGTAAAAATACAGGGAATTGGAAACTTCGATAAGTAGGTTTCCCGGCAAAAGATATGGACAGAAACGTCACGACAATATAATCTCAGACAGTAACTGAGCAGACTTCCCGCAAATGATTTCTTAACTGCAGGTCATACTGTTAGTTGGTCGAACGAGAGACACGTAACCCAACTCAGAGGCTTGACGTATTAAGCCAATTAATAAAAGTGAATAATCATTAAGCCGTGACACGCTTTCGGTAAACAGATGTCATGCAACCCAAAAGAAGTGCAACGGCCGAAATATTGCCAGGTTGCTGAAGCCTAGTGAAGAGCAAACGTAGACCAGTACCTGAGCTTTTTGGTCCCCCACGCCTCTTTACCTATAAACAAACTGAAATGACGTCCAACAGAAAAAATTGTGCTGCGATCCTGATGAGATGCAAGGTCTTATATCAATAATTGACAATTGATCAATGATTAGTGTGTGCGTGCTCAGAAACGTGGCATGCTGGACTTCCGGCGTCATAAACAGTGGCTGTTATTTCATTTCAGTCTTATGTCTAATGAGGTCTCCTCTAAGGGGTCACTCAGCAGGTTCTGGTGTGCCTGTTTGTTAGTCTTGCGGCTGGGAAGTTCGCCTCCTAGTTTTACTCAGAAATTCTACTTCGGACTAAAATTTAACTCAAATCAATATATGGATTCCGGGACGATTGACAGTCGAGTACTCACTCTGTGGTAACCAATGGCTACGTGATCGGTCGACTCCATGGTTGCTTAATAGTAGAGGGGGTGATGACTTTCACTAGGCTTGAACCCTGTACTGCTGAGGGATAACTGCTCGTAAGCACAACGTTGTAGAGGACACTTACCATCGCGATTTGCACCCGAACTAGAAACGTCACCGAGTTGAGCCTCAGACGAGGGCATACTAAACACTGAACTCAACCTCAAACTTGATAAAAACATGGTCATTATTTTATAAAAGGCGCCAGATAAGAGCTACATGTGGTTGGTGGAGAAGCAGAAACTAGAAAATACTATTTGGACCGATTACTACTTATGGGGGTGGACAGACGAACAACACATGAATTATGGTTTATAAACATCCAGTATAAAAAGGACCCTCAGCTCCGGAGTTGGGAGCTATTCGAACACTGGAGTAACCAGTTGCCAACATTACGTTTGCACTGCGTGGTTTCCGTCAAATTTTCTTCAACTTCTGGTCAAAGAAGCTTTCACACCGTTGGTGTTAGAGCTGTTTGTGCACAGGAGTTAACGAAAAGCGACAGGTGAGATTTACAAGTGCTTGAAAAACTGACTTTTTTCCAACTGACTGTTGGTAGGACACCAATACAGGAAAATGAATTTCACAGTCACCGAATGTCACTCCCAAACTACCCTGTCCGGCTGCATCATCACTTTAGTCACCTGATAGAATGAAGTTATCGGTCCAATCGTAGTTAGGTATCAGTAGGCGCAGGGTGATCAGCGTGCGTTCCAAACAGACAGTGAGCATCATTGTTGGTGGATTCGAAAATTGCAGCAATCGCTGCATGTTGATGAACCTGAATTGGTGATAATATGGTGAGATTGGAAGATGAATGGTAAAAAATCAGCTGTAGACCCTTTCGGTGCTTAACAGCCATGCCACCAGAAGGAAGCACGAGGGTTGGGATACTACCAAGTTGCCTAAGCCTAGAGAGGGGAAATCGAGAGGTAGAGATCGGGTTCGAACCACGGACCTTATGGCCAGCAAATTCGCGCTCTAACCACTGAGCCATCTCGCGAATGGTAACATGAGATGATATCTTCAGTTAAATGCGACCACATCGATTTCACTATCTGCCAGTAGTGGTTACAAACAAAAGTTAAAAAATTTTGGACAAATATAAGAGGGAAAGATTGAGAGGCACAAAAGATGGAAACAAAACCAGAAGTCCGTCGAAGAGAGAGACAATGGGGAAAGCATTATTTGGTGGCTGTCAACAACTATGCCGGCACAGCGTGCTTAGTAAGGCATTATTGGTCTTGCTCTGTAGTATTTCATGTTTGTATGAGGGCAGGATATTAACCGGATGCCCATACGGAGGAAGAGATTTGTCTTAGGAGCGTCCTCTCGGAGCTTGGCCAGGTGAGACGGAGGAGGATACTAGTGTTACATTCCAGCTCATACGCCATTCAAATAAAAGCCATTAATTAGAATATCTAGTGAGCTCCGGTTCATCATTCACTTGTGAGCCCAGTTAGTCTGGAGAGAGCTCCTAGGTCACGCCGCTGGTTTCTTCTCATGCCGTGGTGATTTGAAGTTAGGACTTCACCAGCTCTCCTACACAGGCAGCTAGTGGGCTATCGACCCAACCGAAGTGACGAACATTCAACAGCCTTTGATTTGAAGGAAACATCTTCGCTATGATGAGGCTGTGAATAGGACTGCCTCAGGAACTGAGACTAACGAAGACGGGTGAGCTCATAGGCTTCAATAATAAGCGCTAATAGTAATAATAATAATGACAATGTAAACGAACCTGCATTTCTTCTAGAGTTTCTTGGAGATCCACTTCTGATTGCATGAATCGTTTTGGCTGGTCGGGAAACTTCGTCCGAGCCTCTTGGTTAGCTAAGGCACGTTTTTCCAAATAAAGGGTCAAACGTCGCACAGTGGCCTCGTCCACCTCGCTTGCCCCTACAGTAGTCGGCTGATTAGGTTCCTCGTCTTCAATATCATACCCAGTCAGATTGACAACACGCGGGATCTCTGGAAGCAACAATGGTAAAAGTGGATAATAATGTTGCTTGCTGACATTACGTCATGTAGTCAACTGCAAGGACAGCCAGATAAAATGTTATTCACCAGTCTCTCGCGAATGTAGGTTTTTGACCCACTTATTACCGCCCGTTTCTTTAGCAGTTTGTACCGTTAACAGACCAGGAACACAGCAACTTCACGCCTTCGCATGTCCAGAGGCTATAGGGCATGCCTCCTTAAGGGAAAGAAGCGTGGGAACACAACAGAGAAAGACACCAGCAAGGCTGCAGACCAGTTGGACAGCACTGGAATGCGCCGCACTGTTTCCTTGTCATTTTCATCAAAACATGGTCTTTATGGACACTATTCAACGCGAATCTGGCGACAAATGACAAATCCTAGTTAAACCGTTTTCGGGAACACCTGAGTGTTCAAAACCACAACCTACTACGGGCTAAATACTCCATGGATTCGTCAGTTGTATGAGTCCTGCGTACCCCAGCCGCGAAGGCATTAAGATTCCATGGTGCATTATTTTAATCATCGCAACTATGTCAGTGCCCTCCCTCATGGAATTCTCACTAAAGAACTGATCTCATGTTTGGCGATTATAAGATAAATAACTAGTCGAGAAAAATAATCTGAAAAAGTTGTTGAGGATTTATAACTGGACATTTCTGAGGTTTAATGTGGCCCAATATTCACAGTCCACGTTTCTGTTAAAAACCGACACACCGGATTGGAGGCCAACTAAGTTGATATTCCAAGTATTCTGCTCAACTGTCTAAACTTTATATTTTGCGGACGATCAGAGACAACAGGTTTTCAAGGATCAGTTGAAGGAGTCCAGTGGAACAATCTGCGGGCGTTTCCAGTATTTTGCGCATCTTCCAACTCTTCGGCCGTCAATATCCACCAAGGTTTCCGGTCTGCATGGACTGTTTTATCTGATGCCGGATGATGCGTCGGGTTGAGTTGTAGTTACGACCGGGAGAAATCTGTCACCGGGCTTCTGACAAGGCCACGATTCTGTCAGAGGTCCAGTGCCTGAATGAGGTTGGTTGGGTTGTACCGCAAACAGAAGCTCCAGCATTGACCGGTTGATCTGGTAAGTTTGTTTGATTTCTGGATCTACGAGCATTTCAACTACTAAGCGAGGTGTGGGCGTTTTGCGTAAATTTGAAAAGTGCAGTGGAAGGCAGGAGCGGATAAGTACGCGGTTGGGAACCATGCAGGCAGTCCGGGAGTGGGAAGCAGTGGTTGACCATTGCTACCAGTAACTGGTGGCAATATCGTATATTCGGATTCTAGACTGGTTCGTTGGTGGGCGTCACTTTGTCAAGCAAATTCCGTTGTTCCAAAAATTCTTCCTGCAAAGGAACAGTCTGGGACCGGCACACACATGTAGCAGGCACTTTCAGTCATCTGTGAACTTCGTGTCTAACCCAAGACGACCAACCAACTGGGCTCAGTAGCGCTTATCTTACATATGTGAGCGTTCATGGTATCAGCAACTATGTTCGAGCTTTTAGCCGTCCTAAAAGAACACAATGAGCCTCACAGAAATTGTTTCTGAGAGAGCGACAGTCGGAGCCATAGTCCTTCGGAGCGTATAGATACAATGAACAGTGAACGATGAACCAACTTTCACAGACGTTGCCAAACCAACCGCGCAGAGGTGACTATCAACGAGTATACGATCAAGTTGAGAGGCTTCCGCTCAGTGACTGAGCACAATAACAAATAATAACAATCGTTCAGCTGTAGCATCATTCCGATGCCTGTTATAGCCAGCGGAAGGAGACCCGAGGCTGGGATACTGCCGAGTTGCCCAAGCCTAGACAGGAGCAGTCGAGAAGCTCAGGTTGGGTTCGAACCACGGACCTTCCTGTCCGTAAGCTGGTGCGTTAATTACTAAGCTATCTACAGCACAGCACAATACCCACTAAGGCACATCCGACTACTGTGGCCTCCGCGTCAACAAAGGTGTGCAGCTTGAAGTGGGAGGAGGACCTGGACGCGGTCCGTTCAATTTCAGTACTTGCTTCGTGGATCCTTGTTTATGACAAACAGCATACATCAGTGCACACAGAATCCAGCGTATGAACGACAAAAGCTTATATTCCGGGTTACGAAAATTAAAAGCAACAGATAGACCGGGCGCCGAGGTTTGAATATTGAGGTCGAATTGCCGGAGGCTGTCGGCACCGGCTGACGCGCATATGTTGTGGTCAGGACCGATGCAATACGAATAAGGTTGTCGGTTTTAATGGATTGGCCTACAAAGGCAGGGTTATTGATGGGTTAGGCTGGGGAAAACATGTGAGGAAAGAAGGCAGACGTCATCAGTTTTCGTTTACCCACGCTGCAGCAAGTAAGATGAACCGCGGTTGTGGGCATGAGATAACAGTATTTTGGTTTGTGACATCCATGGCTGTCGGTGGGCTGGAATACTGTCAGGGCGTCCGGACTAGACAGAAAGGCGATACGGATCCTCATTAAAGCCTCCGGGACTGGCCGCAAGACAGTGGATGGGACAGCAGTACACATGTTTTAACAAGTTCCAACCCCAAACCTGGAGGACCAAGAGGCTGGGTCCGGCATTCGAATGAGAAACTCTGCGAGTGAAACCCTACAGTAAAGGTCGATAGAAGTATGCAAACTGCCACAACGCAATAAAGAAGTCTCCTCGCAGCGGGAGTAAGCGCTTTGTGGAGCTTCTTCTCGCATATTACCTTAAAGATATGGAGTACACAGAGGAAATTCTATCCGAATACAAAATATGCTAACCAATAGGACCAAGACTACCATCCCTTTTGCAACGTGCTTCGCACTTTCAAAGTGAAAAGTGCACCGAAACTGGCCACGGTATCAGAACCACTAGACAGTGGACAGGCTTACCCACCCGAGTGACTGCACCATGTCTAATGTCACCACAGCTGTCGAAGTGTATGCCAGAAGCGATGTAGCCGTTTGTTTTCTCTTGAACTTAGGCATTGCTCGAGGCAACGTAACGCTGGCTTGTAGGAAAGACTGTCCAAAGCTCGGGTGTTTTTTACGCGTGAAGCCTAGAAACCCTACACCATCGATGCCTTCAAAGCATAGCAGATGTATAATGAAAATATTGAAATGGCAATGCTGAAGTTCGACGAATGGTTTTTGGAAACTAGCTGCTTGTCAAACTGATGAATTGATTCCGCTGCACAGACTGAGCTGGTTCGGTCATCTGATCCGTACGCGAGGTGATCGATTGCCTTGCCGTACCAGGTTTCCAATGGAAAGTACCGGAAGTTGGCAGCGTATGATCTAGAGACGATGCATGGAGAAAAACTAATTTTGGCTGTATTAGTGCATGCCATCTGCGAGGTTGGCTTACCACAGACACATAACGACGGCGAGATGGCCCAAGTGGTTAGAGCGCAAATTTACTGACCGGAAGGAACGTGTTTCGAAGCCGACATCTGCCTCTTGGCTTTCCCTGTCTAGACTTGGGCAATCTGGCAGTATCCCAGCCCTCGTGCAACATTCAGCTGAACGATTTCAATTTCTATAAATCGATGACTGGAGTATTCACGCACATGCCGGTGCTGCGCTTATTCTGTTATTCGTACTCATTGACCCGCTGTTTTTTTATGTTCTATTTTTTATGTGTATTTTCGTCGCCTCTGTTTGATATTGCCAACTGCCGTGAGTTTCGGCGACCCCAATCACTGTACCTTCATACACGTCACGTGATTATCCGACAGAACGATTGAACTGTAGCGAATGGCTACGGAACAGGTGAATAGCCTTCATAATCTACCATATGCCGGAAGGCTAAGATCCCCAATATTTACTTTGTACATTGCCGATGGATATGTACGATTATCAATATTACAACTTTTCGATTTTTCATTTTTGTAAACTATGAGGATTTCGTGAAAGGCTTCGTAGGATTTTAGTAAGAATATAACCTTACTTTGGTTATGTGCACAACAGCGTTTTTAAGTGTTTGTTCCAGTTGCACTCCGACTTTGCCTAAGATGTAATGTTTTTCAAAACATAATCCCCGGCGACTTACACGGCTTCTACATGAAAGTGATGCGAGTGTTGTTGACACAAATCAGTGATACCTAAAGCGCCATCCAGCGACTACGTATAACTATAAATTCGCAAATGAGGTGCAAGCCCAAGTTGTATGGGGCGAATCAACGAGGTTATTTACTGGGGTGTGGTAATAGCATCACACCACAGGAACTACCACCATCCTTCCCTTCCAACTCTCCAGGAATTCGGATTATCCTAACCCGGATCAATACCATCAGCCTGCAGAGTCGAGGAAGTAAACCGACCCATAAACATTGAAGCAGTGATTGTCGACGCCAATTCTTTCTTCGCTGGTCCAATTCCACTCCGAACTCCGCACCAGATTTCGTGCTTTTCAAACTATTGGACTTCAACATGCAGGTGCTGCAGTCCACAGTGAGCTGATCCATACAGCACTTGAACCATCGCCGTTAAATCTTGTGGGACAAGAAAACACTTCGGCTTAGTGTGTACAAGAGTAATGGAACTAACAGCACCAGCACAGGGACGAAACACAACCCAGTTCAAAATCCAAGCAACCAACCTTCTGTATGTCCTATGAAAGAGGACGCATCGGTGTGAGTGATTGAGGGCACTGCAGATGGCATATCCGAAAACCTTGGGCGTTTGTACTCAGCATCTTCGGGCGCGCGTTCAGAGAGTGACGGTGGAGGGGGAGGCTTTAAAGATCTCCGCAACTGTGGGCTAGGTGACTGTTGGATAACAATGAAGCGTAACACAAACGAAAGTACCAACCGCAAACGACAAGACATCCCTAACATCCATTGTGCCGTTTGAAATTGTGAGAACAAAAGCACTGTGTAGTCTGCAGCTTTCAAGGATTCCTCACACACCTAGCGGACTTTGAGCCGTGACTCAAACACCCATGGGAAGACCGATTGGCGACTAAAGGGCGGGAAATTCAAATCTACTTCCCGTGGCAATAGCCTCATTCTGATTGGTCAAAAGGTCATCGACCGGGACATTCAGAAATGTGACTGCGTTCAGTGCCAGTTCATGGCTTATTCTTAACTCAGCAGCATTTATCTATCGTATGGTAACAGAAAAAGCAATAATATGGAGACCTAGTCTCAGAGTGCTTTACCTTCGAAATTGTTATGACTTTTGCCCGTATAAACTTGTGAACGAATGCAGTCGCTGTGTACTCTATTTGTGGGGTTCACGGATCGCTGCACAGGAACGATACATTCATTTAAATTTCTTGGGTCAGTTTTCCTCTTGCCGTTCACCTGAATGATAAGCGAAAATTGATGTAGCACCGCTCTTCAAGTTCTCAGCGAGGAGAAGTAAGATTATCAGTGCGAGGACTCACCAAAAAGGCGCTTAACAATGCTTCGAGCTGGGCCTTTTGCCGAAGCGTTAACAGCCGTCGGAAGTGGGTTTTTCTATGCAGCAATTACTCGAATTAAGAGAAATTGCCCATTATTATTATTTTCTCATCGAATATTTCTCACTTCATGACATTGCCACCTTTTCGCGGGAGCCCCACTACCCTCAAATCCCCCAATCTTGCCCCATTCTGACTGTAAACCCATGATCATGCCAGACGGTATGCCACCCACAAGTTGGGAATTTACGTCATTATTATTATATAAGTGTGCTCTCTGAGCTTGAAAATTTTCCCACCATGTCTTAGCCGTGTGCTATTTTGGTCGACGGTGGAAACCCTGTTGTTCAAACCTTGTTCATGACTGTCCGGCCTAGTGGCATTCTAAATTGGCGGGTTTGTGGGATGGCCGGATGTGCTTATTTATCCAACTCTCCAGGCGCATTTTTCTATGACAGGTGTTTGCAAATTAGGGCGCTATGCATTACACAAACGGCAATATGGCTGTTAACAATGAAACCATATTATAGGCTCCAAGTTGGAAATACAAGTACTTGGGAAGCTGGAGGAGCTGAAATGGTGTTGAAGTCCTTGTCCACATAACGCTTCGCCCTTTTCAACAAACTTCGCAACAATCCACAGACGGATTACTTTGAAATTAAACCATAATCGCGGTCAAAGAACCCGGCTCACATTAGTCAGTAGAGGGCTGCCTCTTACTTCCAGCTAAATCGAAAGACGGGGGAGCAATTGGGGTTGCTTTATACTTGCCAGAAGCCTTGCCCATCGCATTTGACTTCACCGACACCCCCTGCACCAACTTTGATGCACTGTGGATGCAAATCCAGGTGCGCGGGACCGATTATCATCCAGTCGACGTGGTCTACCTTCACCATTCAAGTCCAGCGGAAGATGGTTACTTCCTCAACAAACACCAGAGCAACCTTTCTTCAACTACAGGCTAACGCAGCTCCTATTAGTAGGTGATTCTAAAACCCCAAAGTCCCCCTGGGTGAATATTGACTGCGTCATGTCTAGTAGATCGACGCTACCCAAAAACTTTCAGCAGTGCACTTGGTCAGAAAATGTCGCTTCGGCTACGGAAAACCGCGCTTGAAAACTACCATTCTTACCGGATTCGGTTATCACAAACAAAGGGTGTTTTGTTGCTCAAGCGTTTAATAAGGCACCACTGGAACGTATTGCTGGATGTGACCTTCGTTTCCATCAGCTACTAGGCCGGGAACCCGGAAACACAAATGTTAATCTGAAATTTCTTCCCCACTGACTTCAAGGAAATGCGCATCCCCTTTGTCGTCGTAAATTAGAATCAGCTTGCGTGAAGGAGACAGAAATATTCTATGACAAAATCACAAACGTGATGCAGTGTGCATCCCAAAGAAACCAGCGCCTAATCGAGCGGACCGAAACCAAACCAAGAATGCTTTGAGAAAATGTGATGGAAGTTAATCAAATACTCTACGCTGTTATTTGTTCATGTCATACAGAACATTTGGATAAGCTGTTGGCTCAACTTACTCTGCTTCAAGAATGTGTTTCATTTAAATTCACTAAGGTGCCATTTTGCGATTGTCGTTGTCTCTGCTGCACACCGACAACCCTCAAGACTTTTTTCCACTCCATATTCATTATCTGCGAATGAATATAAACCCTGGGGTTCCAAAGCCGGCGTTCTCCAAGCGAAAATAGACTTTGCAGTGCAATGGCGTTTGACCGGTGCACATTGTAAATGAATAAAAATGAATTCGTATGACCCCCAGTGGGCGCAATGCAAACAACTTTATTACGCATGGGGAGAATAGAACAGAAGACATTACGAGGATAGTTATCGAAACGATTGAGGTATCTGGCTCTCATCAAACCTGTCTTTCTCACTGCAATATGAAAAATCGGTTCAAAAGACATTTCCCCCTCCCCCGATTTTTCGACGAACCTTCTCCCGTGTTATTCGAATGGGCCCTACGTCAGACCACTTCTTGAATATGTCAACCAAATTGGTAGCCAGTTTCACTGCAATATGAAAAATCGGTTCAAAAGACATTTCCCCCTCCCCCGATTTTTCGACGAACCTTCTCCCGTGTTATTCGAATGGGCCCTACGTCAGACCACTTCTTGAATATGTCAACCAAATTGTGTAGCCAGTTCACAAGAAGATGCCAACACTCATTGAGCGCGTAATATTAGATGCTACGAGACTGGCTGCCGGCCCTGAATCCCCTGATTAAGAAACGCATCCCGCGGTGCTTACCTTCTTACCTACAGTAGCTCGGCATCCGAGGTGATCTAATACTTAATTATGCCCTGTGTGAGCAATGTTTGGCAGGCGGCTTCTTCATCACCTATTGAAATAACACGCGGTGGAAACAGGGTAAGTTTTCCATGCTAAGAGCGCAAACATTTAGCAGACAACAATTTTTCCGATTTCATGTATTTGGTGTGTGAGATACCCTTAATCCAACAGGTGTTCATGCTGCATCTAGTACACGGTGGAAGACTTTTCCAGACGCATTTTTATGAGCCCTTGTGCTGAAAATATTACTGCTTAGACCTGGCAAATTGAAAAGCACTGATCAAACTCTCTCTTCTAGGGTATTTTAAGTGAATAGAAGCCTCTGAAAGTCAAGAATAAACCCGATTTGGAAACCGTAGTCAAAGGACTTAACACTCTGTACTACCCGCCAAAAGTACGTTTACCATTACGGGACCATTAGTATACAACTACCAACTGATCGATCACCTTCGGCATCCGGGGCTATTCCAGAAATGTTCAAACATTCATGATATACGTGCTTTTAAATAAAGTAGTCACCAAACACTCAATTTTATATACCTTGAAACGGAAGTTTATTATATAGCTCGGTGCGATTCCTTCGAGATAAACAGTTTTCTTGGAATACGACGGCAGAGCTTGTTGCGGCAGAACAAGAGAAGCTGCGAATGGCCCTGTGGCTTCAACTTAAACATACAGAGCTCATTATAAAGGCTTGCATCCTGCACCAGCGTTTTCAGCACACTACTATCCGGGGAGGACGAATGACGAGCGGTTGTAACCTGCATACCGCTTACATGACAAATCCGTCAGCGTCTTTGTGGCGGCAGGGAATGCCCAAATTTTCTTGAAGAAAAACAACCCAGGATATGGCCGTGAAATGCTCCTTTCCTAATGAACACGGTGCTTGTGTTCGCCTTGTTTAGGCTTTGGTGAAGTAGTTGCTAAGGATACGTCAAGCAGGCGTTTAACATTTGGTTGGACAATGATTGAGTCATAGGTCCTGGAGTGATGAGGATCATGCATCATTTTAATGTCAGTTGCCGTATTTCATTCATGCGAATGGCTTCAGTGGCATACCGATTTTTCTGATAGAGCGCACTTTAGGGCAATCGATCCTAAAAATTCAATACCAGCCCAAAGATTTGAGCACATAGGCATTTGATTTTTCTTTCTTACATCGATGACCACAATGTTGGAAAATACAAATTCGATGAAGCCGATAAACGAATGATCAGACTATTGCCCAAAGACAATTTCGGCGGTTTCTAGCGAACAACACATCCTCTAGTGCACATCTAAGTGCAAGTGACATGGAACGCCGTAGACTGTCTTTAAAGCGTTAGGAAGAGAATGAAATATCTAGTTGTTGGGAATGAACAGAGAATGATGAACTAGAAGTTGGGAAAATGCCACTTTGTAGCTGTATATCAGGACATAAAGTAATATGCATTATTATAATTAGACGAAGCCCCATTTTCTTCCATTCCGCGCATCTCATCAAACTAAGCGCCTTTATCAGGTTCGCTGCATCGGTTAAATATAACGCGCAGAAAAAAGGCCCGTCCTGCACACTGCCCGTGTAACGGCATCGCAGTCACATTTGACATTTGTCTTCGCCATACCTAGTTTAGTTCCAATCCTACATGGTTACTGCCGAAAGAATAGCATACGTGATAGATTTCACCGCTAACCTCAGGTGCCGTTGGCCGCTTTTTATTGAGCGCTTTTATGACTTAGACAGTTTGCGCGTTACGATTTAACAGTTTCCTGTCTTGAGGTTTGGAATAACCATGCTGCTGATCAAACTCCGCGCCCGCCGCGAAAGGCCGCCCTCGCGTCGGCTTGTGTGAGCTCACAAGTACGTTTACCATTACGGGACCATTAGTATACAACTACCAACTGATCGATCACCTTCGGCATCCGGGGCTATTCCAGAAATGTTCAAACATTCATGATATACGTGCTTTTAAATAAAGTAGTCACCAAACACTCAATTTTATATACCTTGAAACGGAAGTTTATTATATAGCTCGGTGCGATTCCTTCGAGATAAACAGTTTTCTTGGAATACGACGGCAGAGCTTGTTGCGGCAGAACAAGAGAAGCTGCGAATGGCCCTGTGGCTTCAACTTAAACATACAGAGCTCATTATAAAGGCTTGCATCCTGCACCAGCGTTTTCAGCACACTACTATCCGGGGAGGACGAATGACGAGCGGTTGTAACCTGCATACCGCTTACATGAC